GGCAATCTGGCCAGTAACCAGAAGGTCTGCCTGGTCTGGGACGAGGCTGCAGAGGCAGTGGCCCCTGAGACCAACTACAATATGGCCCCACTTATGCCCAGAGCAATTATATTATTATTACCATCAACATACCGTGTTCACTGAGTTTAATCATTTCTAATAACTACCCTTAAATATCAATGGAAGTAAGTTACTGTGATGTTTTTGGGCTATCCTAGGTAATCTACACATGTTGCTATGTATGATAATTTAACTGCATTTTTGTGTACCAGTACCTGAATAGGTTTACTAATGTGGAGGTGAGACAATTGGAAGAAGTCACTAGGTCAGACTAAACACACATTAATACCTGTCCACTTTTGGTTCAAACACATACAGTGGCATGAGTTTGCAAAGCAATACACACACACTTACATTGTCTACAAGTTGTCTTCACATTAGTGCAGTAGAATAAATACATAGCTGCTAGTGAATGCATACAAAAAGAATAATTCTCTATGGTTACTCCAAGTAATACCACTGTGTACACATTTTCTCTGGTGTTGGACTAGAGAAAACGTAATTCTTGCTGTCACTCTGACAAGCCACCCTGCTACCACATCTCATATTTATGTCAATTTATTCCGCTGTGGTTGTATGTATCATGTTTATGTGTTATGTAGCATTTCTTATATAATTTTGAAAAAATATCATAGATGGACTAATGAAAATGTCTATATCAACATAATATATGATACTTTATGTGCCCCAGCATTAGTATTATTATTATCATTATTATTTGGCATCAAGACCAGTGAGACACTATGTGAATGCCAGCACAGCAAGTTTGCTTAGGTACAGGTAAACATAAGTAAAATTCTTTCTTTCTTTCAACACACCGGCCGTATCCCACCAAGGTGGGGTGGCCCAAAAGGAAAAACTAAAGTTTCTCCTTTTACATTTAGTAATATATACAGGAAAAGAGGTTACTAGCCCCTTGCTCCCGGCATTTTAGTCGCCTCTTACAACACGCATGGCTTACGGAGGAAGAATTCTGTTCCACTTCCCCATGGAGATAAGAGGAAATAAACAAGAATAAGAACTAGAAAGAAAATAGAAGAAAACCCAGAGGGGTGTGTATATATGTGCTTGTAAATGTATGTGTAGTGTGACCTAAGTGTAAGTAGAAGTAGCAAAACATACCTGAAATCTTGCATGTTCATGAGACAGAAAAAAGGACACAAGCAATCCTACCATCATGTAAAACAATTACAGGCTTTTGTTTTACACTCACTTGGCAGGACGGTAGTACCTCCCTGATAAGTAAAATTATCAGAGTATATATAAAATGTGAAATAACTAATTAAAACACCTAAAATTTTAGAAAGTTTCCAGACATAATGGAGAGATGTGGAACATATGGAGGATGTAAACAAACAGTGGCACTCGGAAACTGTATTAGTGCGTCAGGTTGGGGGGGGGGGGGCATATAGAAAGTTTTGGTCATAATTTGAAATGTCCATATTGGCAAAATGCCATAAAGTGGGGACCCTACTGTACAGGTAAAGTCCAACTGCTTTCATTATACAGTGGTACCTTGACTTACGAGTTTAATTTGTTCCGTGACCCAGCTTGTAACTCAATTTGCTCATATATCAAATCAATTATCCTCATTGAAATTAAGTGAAATGCCATTAATCCGTTTCAGCAGAATTCCTGGCTGTTGAGAGGGTTCGTGGAGATATGATGGTTGGAGAAATCCAGCCACAATATCGTGCACTCAGGATAGTGTACGGTTACCTTGGGTTTCAGAGGAACCTCAGACAACCCTGGGTGCTGAGACTACTATCCCTGTGATGGAGACTTGTTCAAGTAGTCGTTCCTCCCAGGGGACACTCTGCGAAGAAAGATTACTTGAAATGAGTTATGTCATCTCTTGCTGATGTCACAAGCTGTTGCAGAAAGACGTTTCTGTGGCTAGTGTGCTCACTAGTGTTGTTATTGTCCCTTGTGTTCCAGATGGTGATACTATCCTAGTTGACAGTAATCCATGCAATGTAAAAAGTTGTTTCTCGAGTAACCTTCACATGTTGTTAATGTTCGTAAGTGTAGTCTCTCTACAGTTGATACCTCGTGTCACAGTGTGCGACTAAGAATGAATACCAGTATTATCGTCTGTGTTCATTTCTTTTCCCCTGTGCTTGCAGTGAGAGATAGCAGATCCGTTCTCCCTTGCTCATATTTCGTGTTATAAAGTTACTTTTTTCAACCAGGGAGAGTCGTTCACTCCACCGAGTTTGTTCATTCCTCCAGTAAGAAAGAACAGATCCCATGTGGTCTGGTGTGATTCGATTCCTGCTCCAGGAAGATCTTATTCTGACTGTGAAGCCACCAGCACCCATCAGTGACTTCGTAATGAGCCAAGAATTACTGTATCGAACAGCCGAGTTGGGTACCCCAAGCAGAAGGGTATACCAATTAGTAATTCCACAGTCACTAGTGAATGTAGCTCTACAGCTAGTTCATGATGCACCAGTTGTTGCACACCCTGGTATGGATCATTCAGTAAAACAAGCCAGAATGAAATACTTTTGGCCACATATGGCAACTGATATTTCCGAGTATGTTAAGAAATGCAGTGTCTGTATGCAACATAAAGGAAATGTCAACGGTCCAAATCCTATCCAGGTGTAACCCACAGCTGCCACAATTTGCTGAGAGGGTTCGTGAAGATATGTTGATTGGAGATAAACACACTTGTTAGGTGCTAACACTTATATTAGCAGTGTGTGAGAGGGGAGCCCAGCCCAGCCTGTCCTGTTGCCTGAAGGTCTATCTGTGGACTGAGAAAGGGACAGCGTGTCTGACGCTCACATGCGGCATCACATAACGTCACACATGCTAGCCACTAAGTCTAGCAAGAGGTCGTCTGTATAAAACATATGGATGGTACTATGATACTCAGATAACATATACAACATACATAGAGGATCAGCAACTATGCTGACATGGCTCTCAGGAGGCAAGAGAAAATACTTCAATATAACGCTAATATCAACTCTATGGCTTATTTATCAATCATAATTGATCTAATTTAACATAATAAACAACATAAATAACATAGAAACATGATATATACTCTAGAATGAATAAAATATGTCTATATGCGACAAGTGGTGGTGGCCACTCTCGAGGTAAAAATAATTATCACTCTGATCATATCTTCCCATTCTTGCCCGTCTGAGGTCTTCTTAAAAGAGAAAATGGAGTGTTTGTGAGGGTAACTGTATCAGATCACTAGTTTTATAAGGAAAACACTGAAACAAAAGCAATTTTCTCTGACCCCCCCCCCCAAGTTATGAGACTGGTCTATGTTTTGGGTGAATATCAGCATAAATGTCTTGTGCTTTCTCGCAGAGAAGGCACAAGGCACGAAGTGCATACTATGCTTGTACTGCCTCGCCAAGTCGACTACACCTCGCTTTTGTTTTTCTATGGTTTCATACTTAATTCAATGGACATCATCATCATCTTCTCAGCACTGTCCTTTGCACTTACTTTCTTAGGACCCATGGTTAGAAAAAAGAAATTTGGCAAAATAACTGCACAAAACGTAAGCACAACACAAGAGAGATACTTCCACGGTGAGGTAACCATGTGCACTGTTGTGGCATTCACTGCGTAAACTAGTGGCGTCGTATCTGAAGCTCGCAAGTCAAGGTATCACTGTACACTTAATGAAGAATGCCATGAATAATTTTACTTAGAAAAGTGCAAAATGAAAAATATGAAATGTACATTAAAATTATTTAGTACTGCTAATAAAAAACAAACCTTTACCTATAGGCCATAATTACCTACTGATCTCAAAAACAATACCTCTTCCCTAAAGCTAAAGTAGGTAATTACAGACAAATTTTTGCTACAACATATCACTACAGCTAACTTTAACAACAAACATTATATAGTATGACTTGCCTAAAACTCAAACTGCATAATTTACAGGACAAATGCATAAGAATAACTATGTGCCTCTTTAAAGTATTTTGCATTCAATTTGAATTAGAAATCCTATAATAAACATATTGACAGTAGTTAGGGAAATATCACACAAGGCACTACTTGCACTGGGGTTATGTGCAGATATAGTGTGTTTACCTAGGTGGTAGGTAGGTAGACAGAAACCGTCCTGGGAGGTACTACTATCCTGCCAAGCCAGTGTAAAACAAGAGCCTGTAATTGTTTTACAAGATGGTAGGATTGCTGGTGTCTTTTTTGTCTCATAGACATGCAAGATTTCAGGTACGTTTTGCTATTTCTATTTACACTTACGTCACATTTCACTTGTATGTACAAGCATATACACACATACCCCTCTGGGTTTTCTATTCTCTTACCATTCTTTTCTTTTTTTTCAACAAGTCGGCCATCTCCCACCGAGACAGGGTGACCCAAAGAGAAAGAAAATCCTCAAAAAGAAAATACTTTCATCATCATTCAACACTTTCATCTCACTCACACATAATCACTGTTTTTGCAGAGGTGCTCAGTTTAGAAGCATATACGTATAAAGATACACAACGTATCCCTCCAAACTGCTATTACCATTCTTGTTCTTGTTTATTTCCTCTTATCTCCATGGGGAAGTGGAACAGAATTCTTTCTCCATAAAACATGCATATTGTGAGAGGAAACCAATATGCTGGGAGCAAGGGGCTAGTAACCCCTTCTCCTGTATACATTACTAAAGTTAAAAAGAGAAACTTTCATTTTTTTCTTTTTGGACCACCCTGCCTTAGTGGGATATGGCCAGTTTGTTGAAATAAGATACTGTGTTCACCATACATGAAAAAACAAAAGAAATTTAAAGAAACATACAGTACCTGATCTAAGTAGGAGAGTGCATCTTCAACTTTTAATCTCTGGAACTGGCCTGAGCCTTGCGTCGCCCCAGCTGCTGCTGCTGCAGCTGCAACTGCTGCTGTCGGGTGCACCACACTTGTACTGCCCACCCCCGAGACCTACAGTCATTCAAAACAGAAATGTGATTAAAAAACTGGTGAAAAGGCAAAATTATAAACTAAATAAACATTATATATATATATGTGTAGTGCATGAACAAGTGTATTATATATGTATATGTGAGTATAATGCCAGGAGCTAGTAACCCCTTCTCCTATATATAATGCAAACTTTAAAAAGAAACTTTTTTATTTTCTTTATTTTTTTTTTTTGGGGGGGGGGGGCCTAACTCAGTGGGATATGGCCGGTGTGATTAAAGAAAGAAGAGATGTGAGAATATTTTTCTTTATCAGCTGCCATGAATTAGTAATGTTACATCTGCTTTTGGTTCATCTTTAGTCAGCATTCAGCATCTGCTATGATGCTAGTGTATGCCCTTTGTTATCTCCTTACACTGCACTGTATGATTTTTATATTCACTATGAAGTGCTGAACCCTAGGGATCATACAGCACATAGGGAATGGGAGGTAATCAGGTTTCATACACAAATAGCCCACACATAAGAAAGAGAAGCTTATGATGACACTCTGGTCCGACTTGGACCATTTATAAGTCATACTGGTTTCATCCAATGTGACTTGCAAATGTGACTTTGAACCAAGTCATTCACTCTCAAGGCACCCTCACCTCCTAGATGGGTCATTACACTGCAAAAGCATTTTCCAACTTTTGGGTGTACCTCATTTGGACCCATGACATGTCAGGTTGCATTGAACACACTGTTGATGCCCCTGATTATTTTTTATGCCACCATCATAGTGCTGCTTGTTCTACATTATTCCAGTGTCAAAAGGTCTCTCTCAGGTCATGCCTCTTAGCTTAACCCTTTGACTGTTTACGCCGTATAAATACGTCTTACGCGCCACTGTTTCTGACGTATATATACTCAAATTCTAGCGGCTTCAAATCAGGCAGGAGAAACCTGGTAGGCCCACATGTGAGAGAATGGATCTGTGTGGTCAGTGTGCACCACAAAAAAAAATCCTGCAGCACACAGTGCGTAATAAGACAAAAAAAACTCTGACCATTTTTTTGGATTAAAACGCTGACTTTGAGGTGTATTTTCCTATAGTATTTATCATTGTATTCTCGTTTTCATGGTCTTAGGTGATAAAATGGAAAACATATTACAGAAATAGAGATTATTTTCATTACTTTCACGATGAAAACGACCTTGAAACTGAGCTCAAAGTAGCGGAAATGTTCGATTTTTACCAATGTTCAGGAGTAAGCAAATCACACCACACGTCCAATACACGTCAACTGGGGAGTCTAATATTCTTTCACTAGTGCACTGATATTATTTATACCATTTTTAAAATAATGCAGTAGTTTGCATACCAGTAAATTTTGTATTTTTTGTATGAATAAAAAATCAAAATAGAAAGCAATAGTAATATAAGAGGGGCCTAGAGATGTGACTAATGAACAGAGGATATGTTATTTTAGTGCCAAGAATGTCTACCTTGTTTATTCTGGACCCTATTTTGAAATTTGCACCTTTTTTGATTTGCGTGAAACTGGCCAAATTGCCAATTTCTGATCACTCTATTGGGTAGTTCAAATCGGTAAATGGGCGGTTTCTTGTGCTCAAATGATAGATAAAATGGAATTCTAAAGAAATAGCTATGAGTTTGGTCAACTGGAACAACGGAATTGGCTAAAAACAGGGCTCAAAGTTGGCGAAATCACCAATACGTATATGTCGCCTGGACCGCTAACTTCGCGAGAGCGTAATTCCGTGAGTTTTCGACCAAATTTCGAACTTTTGGTGTCATTACCATCGGGAAAAGATTATCTATCATTTCATAAGAAAAAATCTTTTTTTTTTTTTTTCAAAAATTTTGAGACCTAGAATGACAGGTTCAGAAAGGGGCCTGCGACAGTCAAAGGGTTAAAAAACCATTATCAAATTTCTACTTTTGTTTTAGCTTTGTGTCTGACTAAGAATGAGTTTCTCACTGGTGCTACATATTCAAGCATCGATTCAATGTACACCTACCATCCGACTTATGACCTGCTCGACCTACGACCATTTGACTTATGACCTTGTTTTCTATGCCAAATTTCTGGGAAATAAACAACTGTGTGTTGTACACAGTGTTCATCCTAAACCTTACAGTATAAAATACAGTACTCACAGCATAAAAAGTAAAGTAAAAATGAAATACCAAAATAAAACAATAAAATAGTCATTACAAAAATATGATGTTGATATTCAGTAGTAAAGTTCGACTTACGTCCATTTCGACTTACGACCGGTTTCTTGGAACCGAACTCGGTCATAAGTCAGATGGTACTTGTATTTAACCCTTAAACGGTCCAAAGAGATCGACGTTTAAATTCGTAGTGCTACAAAAGTAGATCTACTTTTTTTTACATATTTTCAAATATAAAAAAAATGTAGATAAAAGTTTTTTTTACACGTTTTCAAATGTAAAACAAAAAAGAAGATCTACATTTTTTTACATACTTTCAGATGTTGAAAAAATGTATAGTATATACGTTTGGACCATTTAAAGGTTAATATTATCAATCTTGAATTACTTTTCCTACCCTATACAGTCTTTTATGGGTATATTCTTTCCTAATTAGTACAGTGGAACCCCAGTTTTCGTCTTTAATCCGTTTCAGAAGGTCGACTGAAAACCAACTGGTAGGAAAACTGAAGTAACATCTCCCACAAGAAATAATGTAAATCCAATTAATCCGTTCCAGACACCCAAAAATATTAGCAAAAAATACATTTTATAGAGAATAACTATAGTTTTACATACAGAACACAATGAGAAATAAATACAGTGGAACCTCTACTTACGAGTTTAATCCGTTCTGCTACCTTGCTCGCATCTGGATTTGCTCGTTTGCAAAGCCAATTTTCCTCATTTAAATTAACTGAAATGCAATTAATCCATTCTGGCTCTCAAAAGGCAAGACAAGATACTTCAATATTTTGCTAATACAGGTACCATCTGACTTACAACCAAACTTGATTCCGACCAACCGCTAGTAAGTCAAAATGGACATAAGCTGAACCTTACTACTGAATATCAACATCATATTATTGTAATGATTTTATTTTATTGTTTTATTTTGTTACTGCATTTTTTACTTTACTCTTTATGCTGTTAGTACTATATTTTATACTGTAAAGTTTAGGAGAAACACTGTATACAACACAAACAGTTGTTTATTTCCCAGAACATTTGCATACAAAACATGGTCGTAAGTCGAGTAGTCGTATGTCGAGCAGGTCGTAAGTCGGATGGTAGGTGTATTTATACGGCTTATTTATCACAATTCATCTAATATGATATAAACACTATAAATAACATAGACACTTGATATATACGTATTCTAGAATGAATAAAATACGTCATTACGTATGTGGCTATGTATCGGCAGTGTCGGTGGTGGACGAGTTTGTCTAGAGACAGGACAAAATACTCCATGTATATTTTGCTAATATCAACTCTACGGCTTATTTATCTATCTCAATTTGTCTAATATGACACAATAAACAACATAAATAACCTCATATATACTTTAGAATCAATAAAGTACATATGTCATTATGTGACAAGTGGAGGCGGCTACAACCGCTCCCGCATTCTTGTGGTAATCACTGCCATCTAGTGACAGCCTTTCGAAGCCATCTATTATTATTATTATTATTATTATTATTATATAGCACATTATTATTATACATTATATGTATTATATTATTATTATTATACTATTATTCCTATACGTACAGTGGACCCTCAACTAACGGTGGCATTAAGTAACGACAAATTCATCTAATGGCGCTTTTTGGCATAAAAAAATGTCTCCACCAACGGCGAAAAACTCTACCAACGATGTTCGTCCGGAACGTGCCCATGCACCGGGAGCACGGCCTGATCAGGCCCAGCCACTCCAAGACTCAGTGTGCCATTGTTTACAAGCTGTTGCAGTCGATTCCACGTATGCCTGCCATATATTTTGGATTATTCTAGTGTTTTTAGTGCTTGTAACTGCTAAATAAGCCACCATGGGACCTGCAAGAGCTTCAGGTGCAACAGCAACAGATCACATCTCAGGAATGTTCTTCAGAGCAGGATGAAGAGAGACGGAGGAAGATGACTTCATCAAGGATTAGGGAAATGTGTTCAATGTTTACAAAGGTGCAAGCATTTATTGATGAATTTTATACTGCCACAGAAGTTGCAAGCCATATTGATAACATGTACAATGACACTCTTGTGTCCCATTTTAGGGAAATCCTAGGGGCACGTGAGAAACAGAGCTCTCTGGACAGTTTTTTTGTGCGACGGGTCCAGTGACTCTCAAGCTCATCCTAGTGGCATTAAAAAACCAAGAAGGGAGGTAACCCCACCAAAGGACTTGGTACCTCAAGTATTTATGGAACAGATTAATGCCACTGGTTGAGGGTCCACTGTATTATTATTACAATATAAATAATTTGTAATTTTTATTCACACAAAAAATAGAAGATTTACTGTTATGCAGACTACTGCATTATTGCAATAATTGTATAAATAATGTCAACTCATTCATGACTGCATAGTGGAATGGACAGTGACGTCGTTTGTTTACTCTTGAACATCGCCAAAGAATCGAACATTTCTGCTCCTTTGAGCTCATTTTCAAGGTGCTTTTCGTCGTGAAACCAATCAAAATCATATCTATTTCTATAATATACCTGCCATTCTGTCAAATGAGACAAAAAAATATGAGAATACAACCACAAAAACCATACAAAAATACGTACTGCTAAGGGGCGGCTAATGACTGAGAAGTGAACTCCGCCATTTATGATCCGATTTCTTTCATTTTTGGTGTACGTTAAGAAGCATCTTTCCATCATACATTGCCCAAGTTTCAATGAGATAGTCCAACAAACAACTGAGATCCAATTCCCAAGATAAAGAGCAAGAGCCCTTCAACAGTGTCAAGGAATCTCCCTCGAGTCCTGCTCGCATCTGGAAATTTTGC